GCTAACATATTTTTTTATCTTTTGATTTTTCTAAAAAAAATGTTATCTTTGTTTTTTTAGATATATGATGATTTTGTTTTATTAGATTTCATTATATATAAATTATTAATTTCGAAAGTATATTAAAATATTAAATATGTTTATGTATATTCAAAATAGATATGTTTACATATATTTAATTTTGAATTTAATTGTCCACTTTTTATGGTAAAAGATTATTATGATTTCCATAAATATAGATAGTTTTTGTTTTTGTTTTTTTTTTTGCTGTCATTAATTCTGTTTGGCAACTGGAATATATTTCATGAAATACTTTTTTCAAAATTGGGGGTGTTTGGCTTCAAGTTGTCCTTCCCAATTAATAGTATAGATTATGTGAAAAAGAGAAAATGTGAAGCTAAAAATATCTAAGAAACCCCCAAAAAGTTACATCTTTTTCATTAGTTGGTTCAGAAGCTTTTATAGACTTATGATATTTTGTTTGCACAAAAAAAAAAAAAAAAGAGACTTATATAAATTATGATATTTTATATTCCCTTCAATACGACATTCTTGTGTGAATATTTATAAGTAGAAAGTATTGTTTTATTGGGTCTACAAAGCATTTGAGTGGAGTACAAGTTGACTCTAGTTTTACCTTTTTTTTTTCTTTGATTTTCAAATTCCGATATTAGCTATGACTTACCAAAAATAAACAACTTTCACAAGGCATAAACTTTTGAGAAAATTGTGGGGAATGCCATGTACAGTACCAAATCTTCTATAAAATGCCATTTTTCATAACTATTTTCAAAACATGGCATAGATCCAATGTAAAAAGACCATGTTACCCTTTTCTTTTCCTTTAATTATCTCTCTCTTCTTCATCTTTTTTTTTCTTTTTCCAACAGAAAATAGTTCTAGTAGAACAGATCCGACGGACAAATCCGGGAGAAAAATCCGGCGGACAAACTCCGGCGGAGCATAGCCACTTCCGGTGCCTCTCAGCAATGAAATTTCTAAAACCTAATTTTTCTCTTTTTCAATAATTATCTCTTTCTTTTTCTTCATCTTCTTTTTCTTCTTCCAATAACAAGCTATTCCGGCGGACGAGATCTAGCAGACGAATTCCGGCGGACCAGATCCAGCAGATGAAATTCGGCGGACTAGATCCAGTGGATTAATTCTGACGGACTAGATCCAGCGAACTAATTCTGACAGACCAGATCCATCGGACTAATTCCGGCGGACCAGTTCCAATTGACCAGAACTCCGGCGGACGAATTTCGACTAGAACTCCGGCGGACGAGTTTCGACCAGAACTCCGGCGGACGAGTTCCGGCAGACCATAGTCAGTTCTGGTGAACTATAACGAGTTCTCGCAGACCAGATTCGACGGACAAGATTCATTTCTCTATAGATGGACAACATTCGACGAACCAATTTTGGTGGACTAGACTCGAAATAGTTATGTCGGACCAGATCTAGTGGACCAGATCTTGTGGACAAGATTTCTTTTTTATTTTGATTTTGTTTTTTTCAAAACATTTGCTTGAGGGCAAAATCGTTCATACTAAACTCTTTGTGGCAGGATTTGAAAAGAGCTTTAAAAAATGGCACTTAGAGAAGATTGAGTTTCAAAACTGGCATAGAAGACAAAATTCCCTAAACTTTTCTTACCGAACCCTTGAAAATCACTGCCTCTCGTGTTACATCCATATTCCAAAAATACAAGTAACGAAAAACATCAATTCTCATCATTACAAAAAGAGAATCAATCACATCAAAACTAAACCAAAACCAAAAAGCCAAACCTCATCATAGGGTTTAGTTCGATCTTAACTTCTTGAACCTAATCATACACCATAATCTTATTCAAGTGGTATAGTAGCTAGCTAGCCACCTAAATAAACGTGTTCCTGTCTCCGGTTGTAAAGAGTTTATATGGACATGCATGGTCCAAACCAAAAATGTTGGCAACCGCACTTTCACTCTAGACCAACCACTAGATCAGCCGGTTTCTCGACCCGAACCTCCACGTCCTTCTGGTCAACGCTGTTATCGTACTCCTTAAAGCAGGCGATCGTTCCTAGCTCCTCCACTTCCTCAATCACATTGTCAAGCCTCGCAACCATTTCCACTAGAAGTGATGCAAACGCAGCAAATGGTAACGCTTCAGAGAATTCAAGACTCGTCAACACCACAATCCTACTCAGCTGTTGTCTCAGTATCTTCCTCTCGCTAGTTGCTGCCGCTGATCTCCTTTCTAACGTATCAGCCCTCAATCTAGAAAACGAAACGTTTGGTCCAAAACGTGACATGCGTTCACCACGTGGCGTTCCCGTGTTTTGCTCAAGACGTGTTACAGTTTGACGTGAGGTGGCATCGTTCGTGTCTTTATGGATGTGTTGTGAAACAGTAACGTTTGTGGTATGTCTACCACTATTGCCTTGAGACACGGTGCCGTTTTGGTTAGAGCCGAGAAAGAGTTTAGGTTGTGATTTAATGGCTGTGTTGAGATCTTGTAATGCAACTTGGAGACTGTCGGAGAGAATCTCCGGAGAACAGTGACGTCTGTTTCTAATGCTTGCGGCAAGTTCCGACAAAACCTTGCAGATTTCTCCCGCTAGTCTTACGCAAGGATCCTTGAAGAGTCCACGAAGAGGCCTCGGAGTCTTGAAAATAATAACATAAACATAATTATACATTAATATTAACTATACTATAGGTTTTTTTTTTTATGTACTCATTGTTAAAACAATGAAATATTAAATAAGTTACCTGAATTTCGGTTTTTAAGCAGCCATGAAGAGCGACAACAGTGTAACCAAACTGACGAAGAACAGATCCAACTTTAACATAATGCTTCCATGGGAATCTATGGCAATGTCTTGTGTGTCTTGGCTCCCAACTTGCATACATTGCCTATGTTCATATACATTCAAAATTTTGTTTTTTTTTTTCCAAGTTTTCGAAGAACGGTTTGATCCATGCACATAAATTACTTACAAGTGCTTCATCGGCGGATTTGGAATCCAGAACAGTCTTATATCCATTATAGATAATGTCTTCTGACAAATCTGATATTTCTTCCTCTTTCTCCTCCTCCTCAAAGTACTCATTCACACATGCTGATAAACAAAACATATCATAAATAAGATGAGACTAGAGAGTAATATATATCAATCTATTTTTACTGTATAATATTAAAGTATATTACCTTCTATGGAACTAGAGAGGCCTTGCAACTTAGCGACGGTAGATTTGTGAAGGTCCTCACCAGACCATATAGGAAAAACCAAAAGGCTCATGAGAAGGCAAATACCAACACCCATGGCTATAGTATAGAATCTCTCATGTGCAATCTTAATCACAGTATCAACTCTATAACTCGACACTGTTATTAGATTGAACGTTAAGAGAAATATAAGCATGCCGTAATCGTAGTTCTTTTTTATGTATGGAATAAATCTCAAGTAGGTTATCAACGCTCCTGTTACATAAAGAAAAAAAAGTATGTGTAGTTAATACAAAAATGTAAATGTAAGTGTAGATTTATGCTTTGTCCTTAGTTTAGCAATAGTTTAATTAAGACAACGTGGGTTGATTGTGAAATAATTAAGAAACCGATAATTAATAAATGAATAAAAGTATTACATACCAATGATGAAAACTGCAGCACCAATGAAAATAGCTCGGAAGATTTTTCCGGAATCATTAGCCACAAATTCAATGAAAAATGCTAAAGAACCAGCAATTAGTGTCCCTAATCCTCTATTAAGCCCTTTGCACAACGTTGCACCTGAATCAATTATTAAACACCATTAAAGATTATATAAGCTTACCCAAGATGTTCAAACCTTACTCACTATCTATAGCTCATTGTTATGAGTAAATCATCTTTATACATGTTTTTTTAGTTTAAGATTTTAGCACTATGTTTCGTTGAAACGCTAGAGTTATGTAGTAGATAAATACATGGATAAAGAGTTTCTCGCAAGTCCACCATAGATCAAACATTGAGACCAAAGTTTCAAATGATACTCATAGTGTTTTGCGGTTTTGACCCTAGAGCATATATGTTACCATGACACCACAAAATTGTTTCATGTATACGTACAATTTTAATCTAATTAAGTGTTATGACATAATTTACCTGCAGAGAACTCGAGGACAACCACGACGGTCATGACTGCCCAAATAGCACTATTTCCAATTCCTTTGAAGAGAGGCTCCATGAGATATAATAAGGACACAAGTGTTAAAGAAACTCCTACTTTCAAAGCATGTTTCACTCTCCTTGGATCGTCTTTTCCAACCTTCCATACATTCTTTAGAATCTTCTTCATCTTCGTTGGAAGTTGTTGAACCTTCACCTTCATCTTCATCTTTGTAGAACCTTCTTCATCCATCTCCATGCTTCTTTCATGGACCCTGTTCGACATTTTTTTTTCTTGTTCCTTTTTTTCTTTTGGTTCAAAATGAGATATCTTGAATATGAAAGAGTCTTGGTGCAATCTCTATATATAGTGGTATGCACATACATATAGAGTCTCGGTGTTGATGTACTCTCTATAGATTAGTTTTCACATGACTCACAATAATTTTGATGTGTGAATAAATATTATTTTTATTTTGTCTTTTCTCCACTTAAATTTTAAACAAAAAAAGTCAAAACATACTAAAAATTAGTGGCCGTTCATTAGAAAAAAATATATATATATTACTGGACGTTCCATATTGCATTTGTAACATAATTAAAGATCCGAATAATTTTAAGATTCACCATTCATATGCATGCATGTGTCACTCAATTCATTCAGAAATAATCCAAAATACATTGTTGTGCGCATGCATCACTGCGCAGATCTTGTTTAGGTATCTAACTATATGCAACATAAAAATGTTTTCTCTTGACATAGAAAATAAACAAAATCTACATCTGAATGTAGGCAAGATACGTACATTGCTAGAGATAGAGTCATAAATAAAACCAAAAATTATAAGTGGTTTCAAGTATCAGACAAATGAAAATGAGCTGGATTTCTTACAAGTTTTGCTGTCGTTTTTCTTAAACCTAACTCATTGAAAAGCTTATACCACAACAGAAGTGAAAGTAAATTTGATTACGTGGGTGAGAACTTGTTATCAACACGACTAAGACTTATAACTTGTCGTGGTAGGTTGAAATATTACTATTTGTCCACACAACCTGGTGACAGCAGAAGACCGAAAAAGAAAGAAAATAATATCAAAATACTTAATAAATTTGATCTATCTATGACTCATCGACGTAATAATCATACAATTACTACTAAATAGGATATCATACAATTAAGAAATATATTTTTAATGACGGCGATTAGGACAGACCTAATATTTAAGGCCACTAATGATTTGGTTTCTTCGTTGATATGTTTATCTATTTTCCTAAGTCCTCGGCCAGCTTCAAAATTCTTTAATTTCAATCACATAGATACTGATGTTAACGATTGACAAACATAATATTACAAGAATATACGAAAGTCTTTTCATGCCGTTCGACAAATTGAATATTTTTGAAGATATGAATTGTTTTTGAAGATCGCCGTATGTTTGCATCTAAGAAAGTCCAAAGTGGAATATACTATATATGTTTTTTCAATGGCGATACCAAAGTTAACACGTTGCACCTAAACCTTGTTCTCTATTGGGATTGTAATATCAGTTTTCTAAAATTGTTTCTTCGTTTATAAGAGTTTCCCTTATGAACGAGGGGTGGGATGCATTTTGGACACTTTTGAACCCCGGATCTAGCCCGTTCTACGGATGCGACTTCCCTTAGTTGGTTTGGGTGGCCTAGTAGCCAGGGTCAAGTCCTCTTTTACGTACGTAAGGCACTCACTGTTTCTAAGTCATTGGTTAAGTTGGCGAGTCTCAGTCTAAAGAGTTGGGGCTTAGCAAAATTGACTATTGTGATCTCTTTAGCTTGAAATAGGCAATAGAGTATGTTTGTCTTTGTGAAAGATGTGGTGGACAGGGGATGAAGCAAGCAAGCACTATGCTTTCATTAGCATTTGTTTTACCCCTTATTTAAACCTAACCGCATTAAACTTTTAGATTTACTACCTCTAATAGTAAGTGTGGTTATCAAATAAACAGCATTCAAGAGTTTTTTTTTAAGTTTCTTCAAACTTCTTGTAATCCTAATTTGATAATATAACCAAGTTTTAACAATCATGCGAAAATGGAGGGTCTTGTATATTAGAAAAGTAACATGTGAAAACCTTGTAGAGAACAACTTTGTTTGTTTGTTAAAACACTCACTTCCAACGATTGCACATACGTTTTAAAGTCACTGTCTAATTTAAAGAACTAAATTCACAGTTAAATAACATTTTACCATCTCAAGAATCAAATCAAGAATCTAATCAGTTGATCTGTGGATATTAATGAAACACAAGTTCTAAATTTTCTCTGATTCAATCACACTGTTCAGCAAATCTTTCTCCTTGGTGTTCATTGTTCAATGCATCAAGGGTTGAAGTTTCCCATCAGAAGATATTACTAAACCTCTCACTTTTGCAGCTTTCGTTTTGCATTTCCTTGGCAAAGTCTTGCAGTTTTGATCTTCCAAGAACTCATCTGCCACATCTCCGTCTTCATCAATCCTAAGCCGCATTGAGTACCAACGTAATCCCTGATCCAAAAAAAAAGGTTCAAAGGAGTAAAGTTCTCTGTAAACTAAATTGAGTCAGAGATTATGCTGAGAGGTTCTCTTAATGCCACAAAACAATGAAGAATATAGTGAACATACATATCACACAATAAGACCATTGCATAATCTTGCCTGAAAGACTCAAATTATTATCTTTCTCTACAAATATCACTAATTAAGATCCTTTAAACTCCCATTTTAGCCTCATGATCATGCTGAGTACCCAACCAACAAGACAAGGGACGAATGATGTTTTGTAGATTATCTTTTCCTTAGTAATATGAAACTGAATCTACTTGGGTTGTACAAGCTTTCTTTTACCGCAACTCATCAATCAATCAAACTAATACATATACCATAGCTTGGTATACTCTTTAAGGACTCGACAATAATTTCACATGCAAAGATGACTGAACAGAGAGCAGAAAGAGACAGTGAATCTACAATTCCAAAGACATATAATTCCATAAGATCAGTTAGATAATTGGGAAAGACCATACCGAAATACGAAAATAAAGTCATCTACTGAAACATATAAAAAACTTTTATGAAACACAGACATATTCAAGCAAGGCACCGGCATAAGAACAGGAAATGATATTCATCAATGTGAAGCTAAGAATGTGATCCTAACCAAAGACGAATTTTTCTTAACAAAACTCACACAGCCCAATTTATCACCCAACTTAGTGTGATCCTAACCAAAGACAAGAATTAACAATCCTGCTACAGAACAAGCATAAAGCTGCAGTATGTGATACCTACATTACACATCTTCATAAAGCTTAACCTTAACTTGCAATTGAGATATCCTCATGAACTCAATCAGTCCCTAAACTACCATACAGTAACACCAACCATCATCGATCAAATAAGAAACAAGACTAACCTGAACACCACCATCTGAAGCAGCACAAGGCTGAAGAATAGGACCAGGATTAGACCGTTCAACAGCAACTTGAACCGGCACACCAAAACCTCTCCTTGGAAGTCCAGTTTCACGAAACCTCGGCTGATTATCTTCCCGGCGTTTATCTCCTTCACCGGAAACTTTCCCACTGTTATCTCCACCATCACCATCTTCATCTCTTACAGCTCCATGACCACCATCGTTATGCCCAAACCCAAGTATCCCCGTTAACTTCTTCAAAAAACCCATTAACCCCCAACAATCAAAACTTCAAACCCAGATATCAAATTCGATCCAAAGCCCTCAAAGTTTACACCTTTTTCTCAAATTAGGGTTTCGAATATCCCTTTTCTCCCGATTTCTACTTTCTCCGATCGCTTCTCAATCCAGCAATATTCATTTCCTGTAGTTAAAACCCAGAAATCTCTGTCCTTTTATCTCTCTCTCGTCAACACTGTTGATCTTCTTCTTCTTCTGTAAATAAATAATATAAAAAATTGATTTTTTTTGGATCAAAGATGGATCGAGCAAGATCTTCTTATTGCAGTTAAATAAAATATATATTGCACATTATTATTATTTTTTTCATGGAAAACATATAAATAACTTTGCGATCATTACATTTACACATCAGAGAGCATTGGGACAAAGTTTACAGCTTTTTCTTTTCAAACTCTTAAGTTAGTCAATGAAAATTGATAACTTTTAGTACATTGTGGTGATAAGTTTTGGAAGATTAATAAACACAAAGCAAATTTTAGATGAGATAATTAATGAATGTAATTAAAGTTTATCACTTATTATTTTGTTAGATAGAAAAGTGATCAACAATTAAATTTATACTTTCCCGCTTTTATTTATTTTATATACATGGTCAACTTATTGAATCCGTTTCATGCACCGTAAATTTTATATTCTATGCGCGGTAAATTTATTGAAACTGAAATACTTATAAATTTTATAATTTTTTTGTAAATATAATATGGACGGTATACTTGTTATACATTTTTAAGTTTTTCTGTAAAAAAATTACATCAAATGCTATTCTTCATAAGACCATTTTAAAAATTAAAATTCAACTGATAAGTCGTGTTTTCTTTTAATTTTGGGATTAATTTTTCTCATGGGCCAACCACCCTTATTTACAACATTATTAGTGACGTCACTGACGAGTTTAGAGATTTGTACAACGTAATTAGAAGTTAAGGCCCGGAATCGAAATAAAAAGGCCCATTAGTATATGCTCGGCCCATTCAAATATGACGGATCATAATTTCAGTATTTTCTTTCTATTGTTAGATTAAAAGATTATAATATCGCATTTTCAGTTGTTTCAACTTCGTCGTCGTCTTCCTCCTTGCTGCTCCGTCGCCGAGATCTCGTCGAACCTCAAATCTCAAATATTCTGAATCCAGATCGTCTAATTATCCGATCTGCGCTTCGAATTCACCGGATCCAAGATGCCGGTGGCTGCTTCCGCCATCTACTTTCTCAACCTCCGTGGCGATGTACTCATTAATCGCACATACCGAGATGACGTCGGGTGAGAGAGCTTCTCTTTCTCTTTTCTTCACCTCCGATCTGTTAAATTTCCGATTTGTTACATTTCCAGCTGTGTGTGTGTTTGTGTTCCATCGCTTCTCAGTAGTTCACTTCGTTTAAGACTTTAGCTGTGGTATTTGAGATTTTGGATTTGTTTCTGATTTCGAGCTGTTTGATTCTTAAGGGGAAACATGGTGGATGCATTTCGTACGCATATAATGCAGACGAAAGAGTTAGGGAATTGTCCTGTGCGTCAGATTGGTGGCTGCTCCTTTGTCTATATGCGAATCAGCAATGTTTACATTGTAATTGTTGTCAGTAGCAATGCTAATGTTGCTTGTGGATTCAAATTCGTTGTTGAGGTAAACTTTTTTTTTTTTTGTTTCACTTTCATTTTCCAAAATCGTTTTGTTTATCGTGGAAATTTCAAGAGAGTCTGATTGATTTTTATACACTTGTGACTTAGTTACTACTGATTTTTATTGACATTATCAGGCTGTTGCTCTGTTCAAATCATACTTTGGTGGAGCGTTTGATGAAGACGCTATTAGAAATAACTTTGTTCTGATTTATGAATTGTTGGACGGTAAGTACGCCTGTTAATGATTTCCTCTGACCTGTTCGGTTGTCTTACTTGTTTATTTGTTAGTCTGTTTTATGGCAACACCAAACAATTATATCTTGTATGGGATTGCAGAGATTATGGACTTTGGCTATCCACAAAATCTCTCCCCTGAAATTTTGAAACTTTATATCACTCAGGAAGGTGTGCGGTCTCCATTTTCATCAAAGGTAAGGGAATCTACCAATTTGTCTATACAACATATTTTTTGAATCGTGTTAGTGAATGGTTCTTGCAACTGAGTCAGTAGTCCCCGTAAGACATCGAGAGTATGTTGCTTCTTCACTTCATATGTCTGCACTCATAAGCTTCTTTTAATTACAGCCAAAGGACAAGCCTGTTCCAAATGCAACTTTACAAGTTACAGGTGCTGTTGGTTGGAGAAGAGAGGGCCTTGCTTATAAAAAGAATGAGGTAAGTTTGAGATTTTTTCTGTGCGTATATAGATTTGCTAGGCTGTGCAATGTGCGGTGGTGATGATATTATGAATTTTCTCAAATGCAGGTGTTTCTGGATATTGTGGAAAGTGTAAACCTTCTGATGTCCTCTAAAGGTAATTAATTGCCTTTTCTGAAGTTTTTATAGTTTTCTTTCTTCTTGGTTTCCTTTGTGTGATTGGTTTTGCACATTATGGAAATGGATAGGCAATGTTCTTCGGTGTGATGTGACGGGGAAGGTTTTAATGAAATGTTTCCTTTCGGGAATGCCTGATTTGAAGTTGGGATTGAATGATAAAATTGGTCTTGAGAAGGAATCAGAAATGAAATCTCGCCCAGCTAAGAGGTAGGGATTTGTTAAAGCAGTGAACATCAGTAGCCACTGAATTTTCTTTCTGCAAACTGATTCGCTCGCTTTGTGCAGTGGTAAAACCATTGAGCTTGATGATGTCACATTTCACCAGTGTGTGAACCTCACAAGATTCAACTCCGAGAAGACCGTTAGTTTTGTACCACCGGATGGAGAGTTTGAACTGATGAAGTAAGTTTGTAAATGTTCACTGTTGCAATGTGTTCTGGTTCCAAATGTTTACTAAGTTGTTTATGTCTCAGGTATCGAATAACAGAGGGTGTAAATCTGCCTTTCCGCGTATTACCAACAATCAAAGAACTTGGTCGTACACGCATGGAAGTAAATGTCAAGGTACATAGCTTTTCTCAAATATTAAAGGAAACAAAAAAAAAAAAAAAATCGGCTTGATCTTTGCTCTCTTACAATCTGTCCTATGTTTTGTCTTTTCAGGTCAAAAGTGTGTTTGGTGCTAAAATGTTTGCCCTTGGGGTCGTAGTTAAAATTCCAGTGCCAAAACAAACAGCCAAGACCAATTTCCAAGTGACAACTGGTCGCGCTAAATACAATCCATCAATCGATTGCTTGATTTGGAAGTGAGTTTATATAATTTTTCCTCAGATTCATCTCTGTAATTATATTTGTTGGTCTTTTTTTAATCATTTGGCTTCTCCCTTTTACTCTTTAGGATAAGAAAATTCCCTGGACAGACAGAGTCCACACTAAGTGCAGAAATTGAGTTGATCTCCACAATGGGAGAGAAGAAATCTTGGACAAGACCACCAATCCAAATGGAATTTCAGGTCAATCTTATTCTCGTGTTGGCACTGTTTTATATAACCAGATTTGTTTTAAGCGATTATTAACTGTCTTAGCTTGGTTCTTTTCTAGGTCCCAATGTTTACAGCATCTGGTTTGCGAGTTCGCTTTCTCAAGGTACGCTTTGATTTCTATACTTTTGAGAGTACTATCCTTCCAAAAATACAATGCTGATTGCTAAGTAGTAGAGTCTCTAAGCCATTTTGCCTTTAAATTCTTTCAAATCTTTTTATGTGATATGTGTTTTGCTCCATCCATTCTGCACTATTTCTTCGGATCTGATCTGTGTAACGGGAATGATTGACAGGTATGGGAGAAGAGCGGATACAACACGGTCGAGTGGGTTCGATACATAACGAAAGCGGGATCTTACGAGATCAGATGCTGAACATAAAACGTAATTCAAGTTCAGTGACATCAGACTTAAAAGTTTCATGGCTTCTAGTTTTTGTTCCTTGATGCAAAACAAAAACAAAAGAGTTAAATATGTTTTATACCTTGTTTATGTTTGTTTCGTCCATTAGAGATATCTGTGTTAATATGATTTCTTATGTCTTAATTTGGTATTGAATTCCCTTTCTTTTTTTTCCTGTTTTTGTGAAATTGTACCGAGTTATAGTTTAGATTAATTTTGGTGTAAACGCACGTGATATTGAGTATTTGTGAAAGCAGCCGCATTTTTGTTTTTTCTTTTAATAGTATAATCGGTGTGATATGTTAATGAAAGCAAGTTTTTACTTGGAATAGTTCGAAGCTTGTTACAATATATGTTTAATTTAGAAAGAATATGTCAATATGGAATCAACCGATCACGTAAAACATACTCCTTAGTCCCTTATATTTTAATATCTTTTTAGAATTTTGCTAATTGAAGTGATCATGAGTCTGATACTTCTTCCGAAACTAACTGCGATGGTAACTCAGCTTTATCATGGCATTGTTGATTGTCGTAACGCGAACTTCAAAGAAATCACTAGAGGCTTTAACTCTTACCGAAACAGCTCCACATCAGATTGCTACTGCACAATAAGACCACCGATATATTTTAAATTGGATGTATTTTTATGATTTTAAAAAAATGTCATTGTTCTCTGCATTGGATTGCTTTTGTTAGAAGTTACCTTTTCAAAATCCACTTTAATGTTTGACGAGAATGAAATAACCGAAGACATATTCACCTTCAACAATATCAGCTGAAAGTAGTGATGCTCTACGGTGTCAAAAAGCCAGAACAGAAGCTTCACTTTCGCTAGGCAAGTCAGCATATACAATGTTAGAGGTCGGTCCAAGGATTCCATTTCGAACATCATTGAGCTTAAAGCTTATGATTACCTACCAATTTACAAAACGTTACTCTCATGAGCTCCCAACTATATGGAAGAGGCCTCATTAATGTCATTGACTTGTGATATTCTAGGTCACCAAAAATGTCTCGCTTATTGGTTTATGGGTTTTGATCGAATTATGCCGCTATGATGAGATTTATGATGTAAACTGATGTTACATATCTTACCTCACAAAGTACTTGAACTAGCAAAATGATATTTACAGAGCCATCAACATCATATGGAACCTTACTTCCATGTGCAGGCTTAGTGAATTACAAAAAGCTTAATTTGTGGCACATAAGATATGTTAGTTTGCAATCAATCTCATCATATAAAATATTTTCATTAATAAAATTTTCAATGGTGATGTAAAATCAAATTATAGTTAATTTCCTAATTCCGTTTTTTATACATCTAAAATTATATAATATTGTTATTATTATACAATTAACTGGGTTATGTTATGTTCGACCCATAAATTTACTCGCCCTAAAACAGTTTTTGTTTTGTTTATTTATTAGTATTTCTGATTAATAGTATTAAATCTTAATATAAATAGATGATCACAAATATTTTTTGCTACAATTTTGGATGATAATAAGAAAAACAAACAACTTGGTTGTTTGATTAAAAATTCTATTTTGAGCACTTTAGTTGATTTGGTATTACCACTTTAAGCATTCAAGATCATAGTTGTTTGTTTTTGTTTAAAAAAAAAAAACAAACAACTATGATCTTGAATGCTTAAAGTGGTAATACCAAATCAAAACAGTAAATAACAGTTCCTGCTGCTCTAGATCC